ATATATGTTACTGTTGTAGTTACACTATAAGACACACATGTTACTGATGTAGCTTCTCTATAACACATACATGTGACTGGTGCAGCTTCTCTATAACACATACATGTGACTGATGTAGCTACTCTATGAGACATACATATTACTGGTGTAGTTTCTCTATAAGACATACATGTTACTGGTGTAGTTTCTCTATAAGACATACATGTTACTGGCGTAGTTACTGTATAAGACATACATCATACTAGTGATACTGTCGTAGTTACTTTATAAGACATACATGCTACTGTTGTAGCTACGCTATAAGACATGCATGTTACTGGTGTAGCTACTCTATCAGACATCCATGTTGCTGGTGTAGTACTCTATAAGACATACAGATTACTGGTGTAGCTTCTCTTTAAGACATTTGTGCTACTGTTGAAGTGCTTTCTGTATACTGCACAAAATTACAAGCGATACTCAATAAGACATAGCTACATTAATCATAAATCACTTACTATCTTTACTGTACACGTTCATTTAACTGATTTAACTACACACACCAAAACCATCGCTTTACTCATTTTAACACACAAATGGCAGGGATAAGTTGCATACATGTACCTTTCGGCACGAAAATAACTTAATGTAGTTACAATATTCGACACACAAATTACTCATTTAGTTACACTTTTTGACACACAGTTATCTGATTCGACAATACAATTGTGGAAACAAGAAACTTGCGTACCTATGTGAAAAATACTACAAGTAATTTATCTAAGCTTTAGTGTTAATACCCAGTAAAGGGTTACACACACACACACAAAAAACACACACACACTGCCTGATATCACACGTAGTCCTGGTATCACTACCATGATGTCACACGTACTCCCGATGTCACAGCCCTGATGTTACACGTAGTCCTGATGTCACACTTAGTCCTGATGTCACTGATCTGATATCACAGGTATTCCTGATAAAACACAAAGTCCAGGTGTCACTGCCCAAATGTCACACGTAGTCCTGATGTCACTGCCCTGATGTCCCATATTGTCCTGATGTCACTGCCCTGATGTCACATGTAGCCCTGGTGTCACTGTCCTGATGTCACGCGTAGTCCTGGTCTCACACGTAGTCCTGATGCCACTGATCTGATATCTCACGTAGTCCTGATATCACACGTAGTCCTGGTGTCAATGCCCTGATGTCACACGAGGTCCTGATGTCACTGACCTAATGTCACACGAAGTCCTAGTGTCACTGCCCTAATGTCACATGTAGACCTGATGTCACACGTAGTCCTGGTGTCAATGCCCTGATGTCACACGCAGGCCTGGTGTCAATGATCTGATGTCACACATAGTCCTGATGTCACTGCCCTGATGTCACACGTAATCCTGGAGTCACTGCCCTGATGTCACACGTAGTCCTGATGTCACTATCCTGATGTCACACGTAGTCCTGGTGTCAATGCCCTGATGTCACACATAGTCCTGATGTCACTGCCCTGATGTCACACGTAATCCTGGAGTCACTGCCCTGATGTCACACGTAGTCCTGATGTCACTATCCTGATGTCACACGAAGTCCTAGTATCACACTTAGTCCTGATGTCACACGTAGTCCCGGTGTCACTGCCCTGATGTCACAAGTAGTCCTGGTGTCAATGCTATGATGTCACACGTAGTCCTGGTGTTACTTCCCTGATGTCCCACATAGTCCTGATGTCACTGCCCTAATGTCACACGTAGTCCTGATGTGACTGCCTTGATGTCACATCAAGTCCTGATGTCACATCAAGTCCTGATGTCATTGGCCTGATGTCACACGTAGTCCTGATGTCACGCGTAGTCCTGGTGTCACACGTAGTCCTGATGCCACTGATCTGATGTCACACGTAGTCCTGGTGTCAATGCTATGATGTCACACGTAGTCCTGGTGTTACTTCCCTGATGTCCCACATAGTCCTGATGTCACTGCCCTGATGTCACACGTAGTCCTGATGTCACACGTAGTCCTGGTGTCACTGCCCTGATGTCACGCGTAGTCCCGGTGTCTCACGTAGTCCTGATGCCACTGATCTGATATCACACGTAGTCCTGATATCACACGTAGTCCTGGTGACACTGTCCTGATGTCATACGTAGTCCTGGTGTCAATGCCCTGATGTCACACGCAGTCCTGGTGTCAATGCCCTGATGTCTCACATAGTCCTCATGTCACTGCCCTGATGTCACACGTAATCCTGGAGTCACTGCCCTGATGTCACACGTAGTCCTGGTGTCACAGTCCTGATGTTACACGTAGTCCTGGTGTCACACGTAGTCCTAGTGTCACTGTCCTGATGTTACACGTAGTCCTTTTTTCACTGCCCTGATATCACACGTAGTCCTGATATCACACGGCGTCCTAGTATCACTGCCCTGATGTCACACGTAGTCTTGGTGTCACTGCCCTAATGTCACACGTAGTCCTGGGTTCACTGCCCTGATGTCATACGTAGTCCTGGTGTCAATGTCCTGATGTCACATGTAGTACTGGTGTCAATGCCCTGATATCACACGTAGTCCTAATGTCACTGTCCTGATATCACACGTAGTCCTGATATCACTGCCCTGATGTCACACGTAGTCCTGATATCACACGTAGTCCTTTGTCACTGCCCTGATGTCACACGTAGTCACTGCCCTAATGTAATTCATCTTGATGTCAACGTACTGATGTCGCTGGTTTATGCGTCCTGGTGTCAACATACAGAAGTGGACGTACTCATGTCGCTGGTAATTAAGGTTACTTATACGACCTGATGTTACTAGTGACTAATGCCACGCTAACGTCACACCGGCGATTGTCATTTGTATCAATGTCGTTATAGATAAACATTATTGCACAAGATGAGTAACATAATTTTATTGAAGAAAGACAATTATTTCACTGAGTGGAAAACAATTAGTATAGAGTATACATACAGGGTAATGATATATGTCTAATTGCCGATTTCTGGTAAATATTGACAACATACATGTGTGTTTCCAGCAATGTTTACTCGACTGTTCTATAGATAGACGATTGATACAAGATATACAGTCTATTTATAGATACACTGCAAGTATGTCACGTGATGATATGCACCAATCAAATGTCCGAATGTTCTACCAGTAAAACATGATGTTTTCCCGAACTGGCTGTAATGGGTTTGTTCCGGGGCGGCCGGAAACCCCCGTTTATGGCTCACGACTTTTCAAGTCTGAATATGTTTAAACCTATGAGAATCGTATCGTGTTATTGGCGTTTAAAGGGGTTGATTACTAGAGTTGTTGATTTTTACTCTCACGACTAGTGACGTACAAACACTTAAACTTACTTCCTTGTTCAATGGAAGGTTAGAAACGGATGTTGTATCGTGAATATCGAAGTCTTCAACAGACTAGCATTAGCTATAGGAATTTGCCGATAAAATACCTCAAAGATACAGGCGGACTTTTGATAAGACATTAATAAACTAATGGATTGAACCATCCTTCCTCCTCCATTTCTTAATTTTTAGTTTTTGGTTGGTGTGCTTTTTTAATTTGTCAAAACAAGTAAGAAATTTTTTTGCATTTTCACATTACTTTTCTCCAAAAATAAAGAAAAAAACTTTTGTCACAAAATCATTAAGAGGTACTTTTCTTCATTCAACACTTTCTAATAAATTTAGGGGGAAAAGAAGTGCACAAATATATTATTATTTTTTTTCTTTTCTTCCGTTGTTTTGCAAATTATACCCTGAAATCTAACCTTTCAGGCACTCACCACCAGGACAGAAGGTCTCTTGGTAATCGTGGTAAGGAAACATCTATTGTGTTTTTCAGATGAAAGTGTCCATAAACGATGAAAAAGAACAATATATAAATGACTACCCGTACAGTTACGAACCATTAATCAATGAACTTGGAAGTTTCATCACAAACCTACAATATTATTTGTAAATCCAGTACATCGAGTTACCGAGCCTCTGGCAACATCAACAATCCTACATAACATAAAAACGAATATAAAGTTCTCTGTATCACGTGTCTTTGATGCTTTTTGGGAAAATCGCAGTAAAGCGTTTTAGTAGACTGATTCAAAAATAGAATTGGCGATAAACTTAAACAAAAATTATGACGACACAATGTTTATGACGAAATGAAATTCAGGTGTCACACTGGAAAAAAATAAAACTCTCAGCAAATCTCGGTTAGGCGATATTACACGTGTGTGAAACGATAATAATGATAAGCAAAAATATATAGATTACTATACTGGGTGTCATTACATTAAATAGGGGAGTTGTATGATGAGTTTGATTATAATCATCATAGCTATGGTTGTTTCAAATTGTGTCGCCAAACATCCACGACATTATTTGTATTATGACGTCACCAATGTGTCATTTTCATTGTGACGTCACCAAACGCAAGACATTTTCTGTAAACACAGGTCATTTAACTTTAATTTAATTTCACTTTGAAATGTTTCTGTTTTCATGAATGTAAAAATATCTCCGATGTGTAATACAACAAACACAATCTTATATTTGTTTCCTTTTCAAGCAAGATTTATGGGACTTGCTACGAACGGAAACTCGTGTAATAATCTAACATATACTACATACAGGAGTTAAGTATTCACATATTCCCTGCCACAATTAAAATAACTATTCATCAAATTCAGTAAATTCCTTTAAGCTTTACTCACAGGAAAATGATTGGAAACAATAGTATCGTTACGAGGGTTTGGCCTTGTAGAGGTAAACATTCTGTTAAGATCTGAAGGATGTCGTGCTTTGTTTGGTTTATCTGATCAACAATCAACATACTGTTTATAGAGGCGTTCTGGTGTGTCGCCCCCACAGCTTTGTATGTCATCACGTCGACATACTGTTTATAGAGGCGTTCTGGTGTGTCGCCCCCACAGCATTGTATGTCATCACGTCGACATACTGTTTATAGAGGCGTTCTGGTGTGTCGCCCCCACAGCTTTGCATGTCATCACGTCGACATACTGTTTATAGAGGCGTTCTGGTGTGTCGCCCCATAACGTGGTTGGTTACCCTGAAGAAGAGAGCTACGCCCTTCCCTGTTGCACTTGCAGTGGTCAATCATTCCCTGCCTCATAGTTTTGTCAAGAAACACAAACAATATACAGTTACAGAAGCCTTGAAATCCGTCGCAGAAACTCTGTATATAGAGAAGGACTTTTTGAGCCAAAGTAAATGTTGGAAGAGAGTCAGCGTACGTCTTATGGCCGAATATCGTCATGAAGACTCGTACAATCCCCCATACCTTTAAAACATATACCAGCAACCACAAGAACACAAAGTTAGCATCCTCCTCCCTCAGTCGATTCTCTGTCCTCCGAGGCAGGTTTGATACCGTGTAGCCCTGTACACAAAATAAACACTATCTATTTAACAGAGTTATTAATAGTGAACACAGGGAAGGGTCCCAAAACAGTATTTAATATACATGTTCAATGATGGATTTCTCAATTGTGAAGGCATTAAAGACATCAAATGAATTACATTCAAAATAATACATTAAATCGTCATAAATGTACACAATACAAGTCATTACCGTACACAGTACAAGTCATTACCGTACACAATACAAGTCATTACTGTATTCAATACAAGTCATTACTGTACACAATACAAGTCATTACCGTACACAATACAAGTCATTACCGGACACAATACAAGTCATTACCGTACACTATACAAGTCATAACTGACACAATACAAGTCATTACCGTACACAATACAAGTCATTACCGTACACAATATAAGTCATTACCGACACAATACCAGTCATTACCGTACACAATACCAGTCATTACCGACACAATACAAGTCATTACCGTACACAATACAAGTCATTACCGTACACAATACAAGTCATTACCGTACACAATTCAAGTCATAACTGACACAATACAAGTCATTACCGTACACAATACAAGTCATTACCGTACACAATACAAGTCATAACTGACACAATACAAGTCATTACCGTACACAATACAAGTCATTACCGGACACAATACAAGTCATTACCGACACAATACAAGTCATTACTGTACACAATTCAAGTCATAACTGACACAATACAAGTCATTACCGTACACAATACAAGCCATTACTGTACACAATACAAGTCATTACTGTACACAATACAAGTCATTACCGTACACAATACAAGTCATTACCGTACACAATACAAGTCATTACTGTATTCAATACAAGTCATTACCGACACAATACCAGTCATTACCGTACACAATCTAAGTCATTACTGAACAAAACCAAGTTACATTTTCTCCATTTCTAGTATATTGTTTAATGCAGTTTACATACATGACCTATCGCTGCATCAATTAGAGTGTCAGTGTTAACATCCCTCACTGTGGTAGATGTAATATGTATTTCATAGCTGACTAGACATGTAAAATGTGAAAGCGGACACAATTTTCTTCTTTCCAGCTATCTACACATTTCCGCGAATTGGGGCAAGTAATATGGTGAGATAATCTAACTGTAACTGTCCTATATGTTGCATGTAACTGTTCTATATGTTACCTGTAACTGTCCTATATGTTACAGGTAACTGTCCTATATGTGACCTGTAACTGTTCTAGATGTTACCTGTAACTATCATATATGTGACCTGTAACTGTCCTATATGTTACCTGTAACTGTCCTATATGTTACCTGTAACTGTCCTATATGTTACCTGTAACTGTCCTATATGTGACCTGTAACTGTCCTATGTTACCTGTAACTGTTCTATATGTTACCTCTAACTGTCCTATATGTTACCTGTAACTGTCCTATATGTTACATGTAACTGTTCTATATGTTACCTGTAACTGTCTTATATGTTACATGTAACTGTCCTATATGTTACTGCAACTGTCCTATATGTTACATGTAACTGTCCTATATGTTACTTGTAACTGTCCTATATGTTACCTGTAACTGTCCTATATGTTACCGGTAACGGTCCTATATGTTACCTGTAACTGTCATACATGTTACATGTAACTGTCCTATATGTTACATGTAACTGTCCAATATGTTACATGTAACTGTCCTATATGTTACATGTAACTGTCCTATATGTTACCTGTAACTGTCCTATATGTTACATGTAACTGTCCTATATGTTACCTGTAACTGTCCTATATGTTACATGTAACTGTCCTATATGTTACCTGTAACTGTTCTATATGTTACCTGTAACTGTCCTATATGTTACCTGTAACTGTCCTATATGTTACCTGTAACTGTCCTATATGTTACCTGTAACTGTCCTATATGTTACCTGTAACTGTCCTATATGTTACCTGTAACTGTCCTATATGTTACCTGTAACTGTCCTATATGTTACCTCTAACTGTTCTATATGTTACCTCTAACTGTCCTATATGTTACCTGTAACTGTTCTATATGTTACCTCTAACTGTTCTATATGTTACCTCTAACTGTCCTATATGTTATCTGTAATTGTCTTATATGTTACCTCTAACTGTCCTATATGTTACCTGTAACTGTCCTATATGTTACCTGTAACTGTCCTATATGTTACCTGTAACTGTCCTATATGTTACCTGTAACTGTCCTATATGTTACCTGTAACTGTCCTATATGTTACATGTAACTGTCCTATATGTTACCTGTAACTGTCCTATATGTTACCTGTAACTGTCCTATATGTTACCTGTAACTGTCCTATATGTGACCTGTAACTGTTCTAGATGTTACCTCTAACTGTTCTATATGTTACCTGTAACTGTCCTATATGTTACCTGTAACTGTCCTATATGTTACATGTAACTGTCCTATATGTGACCTGTAACTGTTCTATGTGTTACCTGTAACTGTCCTATATTTTACCTGTAACTGTCCTATATGTTACCTCTAACTGTCCTATATGTGACCTGTAACTGCCCTACATGTTATATGTAACTGTCCTATATGTTACCTGTAACTGTCCTACATGTTACATGTAACTGTTCTATATGTTACCTGTAACTGTCTTATATGTTACCTGTAACTGTCCTGTATGTTACCTGTAACTGTCATATATGTTACCTGTAACTGTCCTATCTATTACCTCTAACTATCCTATATGTTACCTGTAACTGTCCTATATGTTACCTGTAACTGTCCTATATGTTACCTGTAACTGTCCTATATGTTACATGTAACTGCCCTATATGTTACCTGTAACTGTCCTATATGTTACCTGTAACTGTCCTATGTTACCGGTAACTGTCCTATATGTTACCTGCATCTGTCCTATATGTTACATGTAACTGTCCTATATGTTACCTGTAACTGTCCTATATGTTACCTGTAACTGTCCTATATGTTACCTGTAACTGTCCTATATGTTACCTCTAACTGTCCTATATGTTACCTGTAACTGTCCTATATGTTACATGTAACTGTCCTATATGTTACCTGTAACTGTCTAATATGTTACCTGTAACTGTCCTATATGTTACCTGTAACTGTCCTATATGTTACCTGTAACTGTCCTATATGTTACCTGTAACTGTCCTATATGTTACATGTAACTGTCCTATATGTTACCTCTAACTGTCCTACATGTAACCTGTAACTGTCTTATATGTTACTTGTAACTTTTCTATATGTTACATGTAACTGTTCTATATGTTACCTCTAACTGTCCTATATGTTACTTGTAACTGTCCTATATGTTACATGTAACTGTCCTATATGTTACCTGTAACTGTTCTACATGTTACCTCTAACTGTCCTATATGTGACCTGTAACTGTCCTATATGTTACCTGTAACTGTCCTGTATGTTACCTGTAACTGTCCTATATGTTACCTGTAACTGTCCTATATGTGACCTGTAACTGTCCTATATGTTACCTGTAACTGTTCTATATGTTACCTGTAACTGTCCTATATGTTACCTGTAACTGTCCTATATGTTACCTGTAACTGTTCTATATGTTACCTCTAACTGTTCTATATGTTACCTGTAACTGTCCTATATGTTACATGTAACTGTCCTATATGTTACCTGTAACTGTCCTATATGTTACCTGTAACTGTCCTATATGTTACCTGTAACTGTCCTATATGTTACCTGTAACTGTTCTATATGTTACCTCTAACTGTCCTATATGTTACTTGTAACTGTCCTATATGTTACCTGTAACTGTCCTATATGTTACCTGTAACTGTCCTATATGTTACCTGTAACTGTCCTATATGTTACCTGTAACTGTCCTATATGTTACATGTAACTGTCCTATATGTTACATGTAACTGTCCTATATGTTACCTGTAACTGTCCTATATGTTACCTCTGTATATGTTACCTCTAACTGTCCTATATGTTACATGTAACTGTTCTATATGTTACCTCTAACTGTCCTATATGTTACTTGTAACTGTCCTATATGTTACATGTAACTGTCCTATATGTTACCTGTAACTGTCCTACATGTTACCTGTAATTGTCTTATATGTTACTTGTAACTGTTCTATATGTTACCTGTAACTGTCCTATATGTTACCTGTAACTGTCCTATATGTTACCTGTAACTGTCCTATATGTTACCTGTAACTGTCCTATATGTTACCTGTAACTGTCCTATATGTTACCTGTAACTGTCCTACATGTTACATGTAACTGTTCTATATGTTACCTGTAATTGTCTTATATGTTACCTCTAACTGTCCTATATGTTACCTGTAACTGTCCTATATGTTACCTATAATTGTTCTATATGTTACCTGTAACTGTTCTATATGTTACCTCTAACTGTCCTATATGTTACCTGTAACTGTCCTATATGTTACCTATAATTGTTCTATTTGTTACCTGTAACTGTCCTATATGTTACCTGTAACTGTCCTATATGTTACCTGTAACTGTTCTATATGTTACCTCTAACTGTTCTATATGTTACTTGTAACTGTCCTATATGTTACCTGTAATTGTTCTATTTGTTACCTGTAACTGTTCTATATGTTACCTGTAACTGTTCTATATGTTACCTCTAACTGTCCTATATGTTACCTGTAACTGTCCTATATGTTACCTGTAACTGTCCTATATGTTACCTGTAACTGTCCTATATGTTACCTGTAAATATCCTATATGTTACCTGTATCTGTCCTATATGTTACTTGTAACTGTCCTATATGTTACCTGTAATTGTTCTATTTGTTACCTGTAACTGTTCTATATGTTACCTCTAACTGTTCTATATGTTACCTCTAACTGTCCTATATGTTACCTCTAATTGTCCTATATGTTACTTGTAACTGTCCTATATGTTACCTGTAACTGTTCTATATGTTACCTCTAACTGTTCTATATGTTACCTCTAACTGTCCTATATGTTACCTGTAACTATCCTGTATGTTACCTGTAACTGTCCTATATGTTACGTGTAACTGTTCTATATGTTACCTCTAACTGTCCTATATGTTACCTGTAACTGTTCTATATGTTACCTCTAACTGATCTATATGTTACCTCTAACTGTCCTATATGTTACCTGTAACTGTTCTATATGTTACCTCTAACTCTCCTATAAGTTACGTGTAACTGTTCTATATGTTACCTCTAACTGTTCTATATGTTACCTGTAACTGTTTTATATGTTACCTCTAACTGTCCTATATGTTACCTGTAACTGTCCTATATGTTACCTGTAACTGTTCTATATGTTATCTCTAACTGTCCTATATGTTACCTGTAACTGTTCTATATGTTACCTCTAACTCTCCTATATGTTACCTGTAACTGTTCTATATGTTATCTGTAACTGTTCTATATGTTACCTCTAACTCTCCTATATGTTACCTGTAACTGTTCTATATGTTATCTGTAACTGTTCTATATGTTACCTCTAACTCTCCTATATGTTACCTGTAATTGTTCTATTTGTTACTTGTAACTGTCATATATGTTACTTGTAATTGTTCTATATGTTACCTGAAACTGCAACAGGAAAGGCTTCTATAATGCCCTATCCTGCGTGAATATGAAAAGAACAATGTAAAATAGAAAACAGACAGCCATGATATGAAAGTGAAAGAAAATGTATCCATAGTTTTTACACGCGATATCTTTAACCTGCATGTCACTTTTTAATTGGTTAGAATGGTGGCACGGTGAATAACATATACATGTACTTGTTGTTGTTTTGCTGATAAATGAAAATTCGAAAATTCAAATAATTATGAAGCTAGTGCACATGCCCAGATAGACTTTACTTTTCTTTCAATCAATCTGGATTTTCTTCAGTCGCCTCACAGGCTTCTAACTTTAGACCCTTATCACCAATGACGAATCCAAGAAGAACTAACAGCTGTTTGGTGTGGTTTATTTCATTATTTGCCTGTAATGTATCTAACTCTAAATTTATATCAAAATGTGCTGTTTATATGTGTCTATTTTACAATCTCTGTCGTGTCAGGATAAGAAAGAGCTACGCCTTAACTTCAACATTTAACAAACAAAATAGTAACCACACAGTAGCAAAATATTTAGACTCAACATCGATCGGGTGAAGTAGGAACAAAATCAAACCTGTTGAAGATAAATTAATTTATGTACAAATAACCACAATCAAGTCAGCTTGTATTTATCAGGCTGCCCCTGAATGCATTTAATAAGGCTGCTAGTAAATCAAATGTATTAAACACATTTACAACATCCTTCTCAGTCTCCATCAAGACACATAGTGTACTTATTAAGTACGATAAGAATTCTACCGACTACTCGACTTTGGTTTTTTATTGATAAAACACTGGCAGTAATTTTCGCATGTCAACCACTTGTCAATTAATGACAATAATTGATGGAAATAATCTTTTTAGTTATGACACGTATCATTTTTTCTAATTTAACTTTAAATTGAGAGTACAAAGAAATGTTTGAAAAGAAGAAATATGCTATTGATTGGATAAATAGTTATATTTATTTACTGACATTTATATCTTTAGATTAAGAAACGAAATGGATAAAAAAGCAATAACGTTCTATCTAGTTTATTTATAGATACACATTCACCGTCAACGATCAATTTGACATTTTTCTATAGATGTTGCATTTTGCAGGACTTGATAATCGAATAAATATGACATTATACATCTGACCAACAGTTAATACGATATTTAGTCAATCTGTTATCACTTACCCGTCTTTTGCTATAGAAAACGAGAAGAACGAAGAAAACCATGCTGGTTACGAAAGAGACGATGTCCCAACCTTTACCAGCAACAGCCATCCATATGTACGGCAACTCGGGATCCTCTAGACACACCTTAATCCAACACCAGGGTCCTGTACCTACACTGAAGTTTTCCCCCAACATATTATTCCAAAGGGCGCCTATTGTTACCACACCTAAAAGAAATGAAAGAAAAGCGAATGTTGAATATTTCAGGTGAAAAATATGTTTAACCCATTTGTCATTAGGCCGAAAACAAAATATGTACGGATATCAGTAATAACCACCGAAATTTCTGACTTTTATGTATCTTAATGCGAATAAAATAATTGACATTTTTGTGTCAAAACTAAAAGTTTTTCCTACTCAATCGGGAAGAAATATCAGCACTTCTGGTGGTCACATATTCAGATCTTTCCGGAGTAAGACAGCCAGAGCACACATAACTATGTGCTAAACTGGATGCTGTTAATTTGAGTCGTGAGAGACGTGACTAATTGATATTTTGACATTGTAATATAAGTTTGATATTATCTTTAGACAGTATGTTATCATTTTTGTTTGTTCAAATAAAGTTTAAGTGCATTATGACAATGATTTATCATTACAATTGTCTGTACAATATATAATGTAGATTAAAAATCGGTCAAAATATAAATAAAAATCGGTACTTTTCTCATTTTATTTCCGTTTTTTGTTAGCATATATTTGTCTCGTAATTCTATCTCTAGTATGTTAGAGTTAAGAGGTAGCAGAACGATATAAAGATCATTCCCTAGTTTGAGGGTAGGACAGAGAAATCTGTACTTGAGGACGAGATTCCCAACAGTTAAGCCAGAGAAAGATTCCATCGATTCAAAGTTGAAAAACTCCCCGGGCGATAACTTTGATAAATGTTAGGATGATTAACTATGCAACATTTACGTGATAAATGCATGTAGACAGTTGTCCATTTACTTACACATTGATTTAAAAATTACTGTAATCAGTAGTTTGATAAATCATATTTGGATTAAGAGTTTTATTGAACGTCATGAAAATATTAGCAAACTTAAATTAAGATTGTAACTTAACAATTATTTAAGATATTGAAAGAAGTTAAATGTGTTTCATTCGAAGAGATTTTGATGACGTGTTGAGCTGTATATAAACCAACAGGTAATCAAATAATATAAGCATGAACGTGTTCATGTTAACGTGTTCAGAGCTAAATAATGAGCTGTCTCGTGAACTTACCTGGGATGCCCCAGCATACTGTGTGCGCCTTGAATTCACTCCATGGCATTTCAGGGTCACTTAATGAGCAAATAGGTCGAAGACTAACAATGAGGTGAATGCCTATAACTAAAGTCCAGAAGGAGGAAGCTATTCCAGAAAATGTGGTGATCGCACTTTGAGCTATACACATTTCACTTGGAGACTTACACAGTTTTTCGTGTTCTTGAAATGTGATCACTCGATTCTGCTGGTGTATGACCGCGTATCTGATAGTTCCTGATAGAATGCCACATGCTGTCATCATGTCTGCCACTGTTAGGTACATCAGTAGACGACGTGTCTGTCTAATACGTGCATTGCGAACTTCAACGTTGTACGTCAATAATATAATGATGCCTCCGATGATGGAGAGACAGCTACTGACGCCCGATAACACCAGAGACACGTTGTCAAGGAGACGGATCATTGGAAGTCCTATGGGTACTTCGGGTGTTGTGGAAATATTGGCATCCATGTTTGAATCAGTGTCCTGTATGTCTCCTAACACAGGTCTGATATCCGTCTGGTATACATCTGATAATAGGAATTTCCAACAAGATATTTATAATACACACATAATGACCTCGATATGAGCATGCGTGCCATGGTATGTTTATTACAGGACTATTTCGGCGAATCAATGAATATGTGTTAAGTGGATGACTGGAAGTCTGTCAGCTAAGGTATTTCCCCTTCCTTCAAAACGAAAGTAGAGGGAAGAAATATACACCGTCTGGAAATTTCACATTCACTTTACCAGGTTTTCAACTGTGACAAAATTATCACTTTCATCTATGATCTAGTGAAAGAAGGCTATGTAACTACATCTGTACATTAATTAATCACCTGTGTATAAGTACGTAAATCGGGAATATATGTAATAAGGTATTCCATACATAGGTAAATTTGCTGTGTAAGAGGTAGTTAGATAGACTCAGTGTGTGGTGTGTAAGAGGTAGTTAGATAGACTCAGTGTGTGCAGTGTAAGAGATAGTTAGATAGACTCAGTGTGTGCTGTGTAAGAGGTAGTTAGATAGACTCAGTGTGTGCTGTGTAAGAGGTAGTTAGATAGACTCAGTGTGTGCTGTGTAAGAGGTAGTTATATAGACTCAGTGTGTGCTGTGTAAGAGGTAGATAGATAGACTCAGTGTGTGCTGTGTAGGAGGTAGTTAGATAGACTCAGTGTGTGCTGTGTAAGAGGTAGTTAAATAGACTCAGTGTGTGCTGCGTAAGAGGTAGTTAAATAGACTCAGTGTGTGCTGTGTAAGAGGTAGTTAGATAGACTCAGTGTGTGCTGTGTAAGAAGTAGTTATTTAGACTCAGTGTGTGCTGTGTAAGAGGTAGTTAGATAGACTCAGTGTGTGCTGTGTAAGAGGTAGTAAGATAGACTCAATGTGTGCTGTGTAAGAGGTAGTTAGATAGACTCAGTGTGTGCTGTGTAAGAGGTAGTTAGATAGACTCAGTGTGTGCTGTGTAAGAGGTAGTTAGATAGACTCAGTGTGTGCTGTGTAGGAGGTAGTTAGATAGACTCAGTGTGTGCTGTGTAAGAGGTAGTTAGATAGACTCAGTGTGTGCTGTGTAAGAGGTAGTTAGATAGACTCAGTGTGTGTTGTGTAAGAGGTTGTCGAAGCCATGTTGCTTTTTTTAGTTTATTCTTCAACCATTGGAAACCCTCAGTTAGTGGTAAAGAACTGCAAATTAACATAAACAGCGTTCGGTAAACAATATGCCTATCAAACTGTAATTTACATAACAAATTATAGGACCTAACCAGGATGACATGGACAAAATACTACACTAGTATCATATTGAAGTCTATAATGCTAGACTAGACCTGGATATATTGACCTAGTTACTGATTAAACTGATGATACGAAGTGATATAACATGTCCTTAACCTGATTGTGTTTACATATTACATGTATAGTGTAACCAGACCGAACTAACTACCCAAGTAACCAACTAATATGATCAGATTACAGAGGGGTTTTTCAATACAAAGTCTTGATATAACCACAGGAGGAAATAACTAGACTAAGAAAAATATAATTCCTAATATAGTAATTGGACGGGCTGGTTCAGATTAGTTATACCGTATTATACATGTCCTAATAATGTAATGATACCGACACAAATGACTAGTAACAGCTTATAATTCTGACTACAAAGATAACTAGAGACAGCTAATAATACTGAATACGGATGACTAGTAACAGCTTATAATTCTGACTACAAAGATAACTAGAGACAGCTAATAATACCGACACAAATGACTAGTAACAGCTTATAATTCTGACTACAAAGATAACTAGAGACAGCTAATAATACCGACACAAATGACTAGTAACAGCTTATAATTCTGACTACAAAGATAACTAGAGACAGCTAATAATACTGAATACGGATGACTAGTAACAGCTTATAATTCTGACTACAAAGATAACTAGAGACAGCTAATAATACTGAATACGGATGACTAGTAACAGCTTATAATTCTGACAACAAAGATAACTAGAGACTGCTAATAATACTGAATACGGATGACTAGTAACAGCTTATAATTCTGACAACTAAAATATAACTAGGAACATCCAATAAAACTGAGTACAAATGACTAGCAATCATGCATGGATTTCAATCTCACATTAGTACACTATAAATAGTAATTCGAAAACACGACAGAGGTAGTTATATAGACTCAGTGTGTGCTGCGTAAGAGGTAGTTCAATAGACTCGGTGTGTGCTGTGTAGGAGGTAGTTAGATAGACTCAGTGTGTGCAGTGTAAGAGGTAGTTAGATAGACTCAGTGTGTGCTGTGTAAGAGGTAGTTAGATAGACTCAGTGTGTGCTGTGTAGGAGGTAGTTAGATAGACTCAGTGTGTGCTGTGTAAGAGGTAGTTAGATAGACTCAGTGTGTGCTGTGTAAGAGGTAGTTAGATAGACTCAGTGTGTGCTGTGTAAGAGGTAGTTAGATAGACTCAGTGAGACCTGAGAAAGATGTAGTAAGATAGACTCAGTGTGTGCTGAGTTATTTAGACTCAGTGTGTGCTGTGTAAGAGGTAGTTAGATAGACTCAGTGTGTGCTGTGTAGGAGGTAGTTAGATAGACTCAGTGTGTGTTGTGTAAGAGGTTGTCGAAGCCATGTTGCTTTTTTTAGTTTATTCTTCAACCATTGGAAACCCTCAGTTAGTGGTAAAGAACTGCAAATTAACATAAACAGCGTTCGGTAAACAATATGCCTATCAAACTGTAATTTACATAACAAATTATAGGACCTAACCAGGATGACATGGACAAAATACTACACTAGTATCATATTGAAGTCTATAATGCTAGACTAGACCTGGATATATTGACCTAGTTACTGATTAAACTGATGATACGAAGTGATATAACATGTCCTTAACCTGATTGTGTTTACATATTACATGTATAGTGTAACCAGACCGAACTAACTACCCAAGTAACCAACTAATATGATCAGATTACAGAGGGGTTTTTCAATACAAAGTCTTGATATAACCACAGGAGGAAATAACTAGACTAAGAAAAATATAATTCCTAATATAGTAATTGGACGGGCTGGTTCAGATTAGTTATACCGTATTATACATGTCCTAATAATGTAATGATACCGACACAAATGACTAGTAACAGCTTATAATTCTGACTACAAAGATAACTAGAGACAGCTAATAATACTGAATACGGATGACTAGTAACAGCTTATAATTCTGACTACAAAGATAACTAGAGACAGCTAATAATACTGAATACAAATGACTAGTAAAAGCTTATAATTCTGACTACAAAGATAACTAGAGACAGCTAATAATACCGACACAAATGACTAGTAACAGCTTATAATTCTGACAACAAAGATAACTAGAGACAGCTAATAATACTGAATACGGATGACTAGTAACAGCTTATAATTCTGACTACAAAGATAACTAGAGACAGCTAATAATACTGAATACGGATGACTAGTAACAGCTTATAATTCTGACAACAAAGATAACTAGAGACAGCTAATAATACTGAATACGGATGACTAGCAACAGCTTAAAACTGACAACTAAAATATAACTAGGAACATCCAATAAAACTGAGTACAAATGACTAGCAATCATGCATGGAATTTCAATCTCACATTAGTACACTATAAATAGTAATTCGAAAACACGACAGAGGTAGTTATATAGACTCAGTGTGTGCTGTGTAAGAGGTAGTTATATAGACTCAGTGTGTGCTGTGTAAGAGGTAGTTAGATAGACTCAGTGTGTGCAGTGTGTATAGACTCAGTGTGTGCTGTGTAGAGGTAGTTAGATAGTTAGATGTGACTCAGTGTGTGCTGTGTAAGAGGTAGTTAGATAGACTCAGTGTGTGCTGTGTAAGAGGTAGTTAGATAGACTCAGTGTGTGCTGTGTAGGAGGTAGTTAGATAGACTCAGTGTGTGCTGTGTAAGGGTAGTAAGATAGACTCAATGTGTGCTGTGTAAGAGGTAGTTAGATAGACTCAGTGTGTGTTGTGTAAGAGGTTGTCGAAGCCATGTTGCTTTTTTTAGTTTATTCTTCAACCATTGGAAACCCTCAGTTAGTGGTAAAGAACTGCAAATTAACATAAACAGCGTTCGGTAAACAATATGCCTATCAAACTGTAATTTACATAACAAATTATAGGACCTAACCAGGATGACATGGACAAAATACTACACTAGTATCATATTGAAGTCTATAATGCTAGACTAGACCTGGATATATTGACCTAGTTACTGATTAAACTGATGATACGAAGTGATATAACATGTCCTTAACCTGATTGTGTTTACATATTACATGTATAGTGTAACCAGACAGCTAATAACTACCCAAGTAACCATGACTAATATGATCAGATTACAGAGGGGTTTTTCAATACAAAGTCTTGATATAACCACAGGAGACAGCTAATAAACTAGACTAAGAAAACATATAATTCTGACTAATATAGTAATTGAGAGCTGGTTCAGAATAGATTATGACTAGTAACAGCTTATAATTCTGACTACAAAGATAACTAGAGACAGCTAATAATACTGACACAAATGACTAGTAACAGCTTATAATTCTGACTACAAAGATAACTAGAGACAGCTAATAATACTGAATACGGATGACTAGTAACAGCTTATAATTCTGACTACAAAGATAACTAGAGAGCTAATAATACTGACACAAATGACTAGTAACAGCTTATAATTCTGACTACAAAGATAACTAGAGACAGCTAATAATACTGACAATAATGACTAGTAACAGCTTATAATTCTGACTACAAAGATAACTAGAGACAGCTAATAATACTGACACAAATGACTAGTAACAGCTTATAATTCTGACTACAAAGATAACTAGAGACAGCTAATAAAACTGACACAAATGACTAGTAACAGCTTATAATTCTGACTACAAAGATAACTAGAGACAGCTAATA